CGAGCCCATTGGGGAGTTGCAGCGATGAGACAAGATCGTAATTGGATCGAAATTGGGGAGAAAAAGGGGGTGAAAAAAAGAAACAACGTTCTTCCATGGGAATTTCCAGTACTTCAGCATAACGTTTCCTACAGGGTTTCTCATGGTTCTATTTAAAGTCATGTTCTCAAATTGTTCCGAGAACGTTAAGAAAACTTTCCATAAAAACAACAAGAACACTTTAATAACATTCAGAGAACATTCTAAGAAGGTTATTTAAAAACATACATTCCGTTCTCAGAACGTTAAGAACATTTCCATAAAAACCACAGGTGTGGCCCACTAATTGGCCACACCTGATCTTAATGAGTGCTTGTTTCCTTTGAAATTGGGTCTGTTTGAATAGACTAAAATGAACAGCTTTGTATGAGTAAAAAAAAACATGCCATGCTAGCTCCATCTTGGTGGCACAGGGGACTAATTCCATGGATAAAGAACAGAAGATCATAGGTTTGAATCTCCCTGATGCCGTGCCACAATAAAAGTGGCGCAGCGGTCTAAGGCACTGCATCTTAGTGCTAGATGTGTCACTACAGACCCTGGTTCGATTCCAGTCCATAGGGCGGCGCACAATTGGCCCAGCGTCGTCCGGGTTTGGCCAGGGTAGGCCGTCATTGTAAATAAGAATTTGTTCTTAACTGACTTGCCTAGTTAAATTGTTGGTTAAGGACTTGTAAGTAAGCATTTCACCTGTTGTATTCGGTGCATGTGACAAATAAAATGTGATTTGATTAAAAGTCTTATTGAAACATGTTCTCAAAACGTTATTTAATGACCTTCAAATAACCTATCATTTCCGTTCTCATAATGTTAATAAAACCTCTCAGGAAATCTTTCAGGGAACCATAGTAAAACGTTCTCCAAACCTCCCTGCAACCAAAACATTTACATTCCCAGAACAGGAAAATGTTTCACTTCTGTTCTCAGAACATTAAAAAAAAACTTTCAGTTTTACCTGTCAGGAAACCTATGGCTTTGTTCCCAGAGCCAATGGGATACCAAAAACGTACTTTCCCACAACTTCCAAGGAACCAAATCTGCTAGCTAGGCAGTCTATCCCTCTCACCAAGTTTTAAATCAAATTTGTTTGCTTAGATCTGTATGCTTTTGACAGTAAATATACAGTAGTCTACAGTGAATGCCAAATAGGCATATATCTGTTGACTGGCCTGTCTGGTAATTAGCCAGTGCTTTCCTGCCACAAATAGCACCATGATACATTGCATGCTATGTAAATAATTACTTCCTGGTTCCACTGCCAACATTTTTCCATCTTTGGATTTCTCCATGGGAGTATCACGACTATTCAAATGTAAGTTTAACAGTAATACATTTTGGCATTCATTGGGCACAGGGCACTCCCTTGGAACTTGGAAGTACAGTATTTGAGGTAGTGGATTTTGGCTTGTACTTACTTAGTGTTGACAAGGGCTCCCACTGCCACGCATAGTGACAGGCCTAAGCTTGTCCACTGCTTTAGAGTTGTGGGGTTCGCCATAATATATAAACCAGTAAATAGTTTCACAAGCGGAATGTTTACTTGACCTGCTGGCACTTAACTCTCCGGTCTTTGCTGTCAGCAAGGCTCAAGGTTTAAGACCCAATTGAGCTCTCGCATCCTTATTTCCATACCCGCACTACTTCCTGGTGTTGGCTAGCAACCGAGACCCTGCTGAAGCTCAGGGCTTTTGTTTTGCCCATGTTCTCAGACCCACAAACAAATCAGTGAGCAATGAGCCTTCTCCACTCTGAAGCTGGCTTAAGTCAGGATGAGGAATGGGACAGGGTCTGAATGTGGCTGAAATACGATGGAGTTGACCACTCTGTTCAATTAGCGTCCTATTTGCATTGAAAAGGCGTGTGGCACTGCATTAGAAGCACGTGGCTGATGTTTAATAGCCTGCCTTTACATATCTCCTCCTGAAACGCCTGCTTATATGAGGCTGTCTTTGCATGTCAAGTCTCTGCTAACAGATGGGATCACAACAGGACTGGACCAGCACTATAACACAGCGCCAGCCTGGAACACTTCCATAGAAACCCAATCTTTATGCTCTTCATTACCCCACTGTCCTCAAATGAAGCAATAATTAGATTCCTGACGTGCTGTAGCCCTCCCTCCCTCTCAATGCCTATGACTCGACAGGATGAGAGCGACAACAGGAATGTGTTTTCTAATGAATGCATGTCTCACTCTCACCTCCTTGGTTCTTTGTGGCTCGGTTCGTAAAATAATGGCGTTAGTGACGCCAGGGTCTTGGGTTCGATTCCCGCTGGGGCCATCAATACGAAAATGTATTCAGTCACTGTTGTTAGTCGCTTTAAAAAAAAAAGAAAAGCTAAATGGTATATCCCTGTCTGTAGCTCAGCATTTACATAATCACGGCCAATGAAAAAGCTCTGGTATTGATATAAAGTCTCAACAGTGTAAAGAAAGCTGGCCGTGTGGCCACAGGGAGGGAGATAGAACTTTGTGCAGAGCAGGGGACAAAGTGAGTGATTCAGCGAGTTAGCGCTCCAGATGCTGGTGGAACATCAAGCGTATTGTAGTGAGCGGCCGGCGCTTGCTAAGGATGCTGTGGCAGTGGGTTATTAGTGTCAGTGGGGCGTCATTGTGTCATCAGCTGCCAGCTAGCCTCAAACGGCCTCAATACAACAGAACACATTCAGCTGGTACAGCAGATATATAGAAGCTAATGGCTAGGAGTTAAAAAGGCTGGACCAAAAAGGCTTCTGAAGTTTGTAATTTACACTTTGAAATTTCAGACCTGATTTTCCCTTACGAAAAAAGGAATCAACCCCTACAAAAATGTCCATAAATTATTATCCACATAATAATAAAAATGTCCTGTTATTTTCCTGCTGTAGCAAAGTGGCTCAAATTATGATCCTACATCTCTAGCTACTGACACTTTTCATTCTGAACACAATATTGTTGATATATTTAATGCCATGACATAATAATAGACATGCCATTAGTGTAACGTTAGTCTGTTTAGTTTCTCACTAGACATTTCCTATCTTCCATTCATAATTGGATCATCTTATTTATATGTGAGAGAGGAAGAGCTAACAGATCACCTCTTTAGCTTGGTTTCTTTCCTTTTCCTGAATCTAGTGCTTACAGATGGTTTCATTTAAGCATTTTTTTCTCTGTGTGTGTTTGTCTCTTGGTGTGTGTGATTGCTCTCTAACATCTTTCTGGCAATCCACCACAAACATTCTCTCGAGTATGTTTTACCATATAAGGTGTGTCTCAGGCAGCCAGAGAATGCTGTGTGACTAAGGAAGGGGCATGGCTAGGGAAAGGGAGAGAGATGGAGAGCGAGAGAGGGAGAGAGCGAGAGAGAGGGAAAGAGAGAGAGGGAGAAAGCGCTCTCCTCTGACCCTGAACTGACTGAGAGAGAAAGAGGGGAGGGAGGAAGGACAGGATGTAGTGTGGGCTGGTTTCCTGTCTGTTTTCTACCTTTCCCCCTTTAAACCTACTCCATTTCCTTTCTCTCAAAGAGGGTCTTTACATTTTTGTTTAAATAACAGGAATGTGCTCATGTACTGTATAGGGTGAGCCTATAAGTTGTTATGACAGTTAGTTGGTAATTAGCTATGATATTTGCATACTTTTCTTTAGGGTACTTTTCAAGTCTCCAGAGTATGGTATGGGCCTGGTCCATAGATTATTTACTGTGCAGCTGAACTAACTAACAACAAAATGCTTCTTCCATCCAACCCTGAGAGACTTCCGTTTTTGAATGCAAGTACCTTCCATCGTCATGTGTCTCACAGAAGAATGCCTGGTTCCCTCGACATGGCTGAATGAATTACCTTCGGGACATACTGTATACAGATGTAGGATCTTAATTTGAGCCAGTTTGCTACAGCGGGAAAATAATCCTGCAGCAACAGGAAATGTGAATTATTATGCTGATTATAATTAATGGACATTTTTGTCTGAAGCCTTTTTAAACCTCAAATACACTACAAGTTTTACATTTCCTGCATTGCAGAAAGGTTCTCCTGCAATAGGGTGATCAAATGAAGATCCTACATCTGTAGATGGACAAGCATATTTTAAACACACAGAGAACTGTCTGGGTGAGATTTCCCCACATGATAATCAAAGTCTGATGTTAGATAGCCATTATAAACTAGTGCCTCAACTTTATCGCTCATTGTTTTAGTGGTAAATCCGCTAGTAACCATGTTTCTATGCTGCTGATTTTTTGTCAACACAACAGCCATTCAACTGTTCAGGAAGCTATTGTAGCTCTGTTGCTAACTGACTGCCTGTCTGTATCTGAAGGTGTTTTACAGCCACATACAGACATCCATACCTAACTGACCTGCGCTCATGAATAGAATTGTTTGTTTATGTGTGGAGGCTTTCTCCAGACAGTAATTGCCTCATAACTGTATCTGTTTTTTCAGGCCTGGTTTCTTTCTAACTGTCTGGCAGTTGATCTGATATCCATAAAATCCCACAAAGAAGTTAGGGGATGATATATTATCCACAATGATTTATTTTGTGGTCAGTTTATGCCCCAATCTAGAAAACGCTCATTGTCTCGTTGGATTCAATTGGTTTTTAGCTGGCTGGCTGTTGATCCATCAACCAGTCATATAACGGACATTTCCTGCCTGCCTCCACTGCCTCTCTAAGCACATGCTTCTTTATTAACTAGGGAGAGAGGGGAAGAGAAAGAGAGGAGAAGGGGGAGGATGGGTGGGGTGTCAGTCAGGCCTGAAAGATAGATTGAGAGAAAGCAAACGAGAGGCATAGAAAGGAGAGTGCTGACTAACCGCCAGGCCCTGAGCAGAGCAGGAAGCTATGTCTCTCCCACAGCCATCCCAGCCCAGAGCAGAGCTGAAATATCCAGCCCATAAGAGAATGGAATGGAATGGCACTCACTCTGTACAAATAACTCCTAATTACCCTTTTCCTCTGTCCTCTGTTAGCTCTCTCTATGTATGCTCCTTCTCCAACAGTAACCCCCATCTCTATCTCTGTGGCGCTTCTCTTCCAGGCCCTAGGCCTGAGGCCTAGTTGTGTAAGCTGGGTCTGGTAATGGTCAGCCAGGGGCAGGCCTGTGGGTGCTGTATTGAACTGTGGGAGTAGTAGTAGTAAGACCTGAGTCAGAATTGGCTGGAGAGCTTCCATTGTACTGGTCTGAAATCAGTTATGTGTTTAAATAGTAGTCCTACTACCTGGGAAGTGGATATGCTTATGGACTGAGAGAGGAAATAAATGTTTGCTTTTCTGTTTACTTGATAAACAATCCAGTTCATAGAAAGCAAAGAGCATCCCAAAAAATTCCATTGTGTGACCCAGTTCTGTTGTCTTAAATCAGAAATGGATTCCAGTGAATGGAATCAATAGTTCTGTTCACTGCTCATTCATCATTTAAACCCACTGACCTTAAAAGACTCCGGCTTCTATCCATTTGAATGTTTCCATCTGCCTCCAATTCACTTTAGACACTGTGAATGTCAGATATAGAATTGAAATGTATGACATTTTGGGTTTACATCCCAATATTGCACTTTATATACATCACAGAAGACTGAAATATAACAAAACCGTTTGACATAGAAACTCTGGATTTTCTGCGTGATAAATCATATATATTAATAATCAAATTAATTAAACGTCTCCCGAGTGGCGCAGTGGTCTAAGGCACTGCATCGCAGTGCTAGCTGTGCCACTAGAGATCCTGGTTCAAATCCAGGTTCTCTAGCCGGCCGCGACGTAGCCGGCCGCGACCGGGAGACCCATTGGGCGGCGCACAATTGGCCCAGCGTCGTCCAGGGTAGGGGAGGGAATGGCCGGCAGGGATGTAGCTCAGTTGGTAGAGCATGGCGTTTGCAACGCCAGGGTTGTGGGTTCGTTTCCCCAAATAATGTATGCACTCACTAACTGTAAGTCGCTCTGGATAAGAGCGTCTGCTAAATGACTAAAAATGTTTAAAAAATAGTTAAATAATATTACACCCATGAGGCCACTAGAGGGCGATTTGGTCATTTGACTACAGGAAAGGGATCATGGAGAGGATATGGGCTCTTTGTGCATTCCCCTGTCCTTGGATCCTGACACATGGTTATGGGTGACTGAGGATGTCTTTAACCTCCATATGATGGCTTCCATTACATTAACATTTTAGTAATTTAGCAGACGCTCTTATCCAGAGTGACTTACAGTTAGTTAGTGCATTCATCTTAAGATAACTAGGTGGGACAACCACATCACAGTCATAGTAAGTACATTTTTCCTCAATAAGGTAGCTATCAGCAAAGTCAGAGCTAGTAATGGGGAGAAGTAAAGTGCGAATGTTAGTTCACAAAAGGCATTTTTGCCGTGTGCGGAGGAGCGGGGTGACATGGGAGAACTTGGGATGGTTAAACACCAGGCGGGCAGTAGCGTTCTGGATAAGTTGCAGTAATTGATGGCACAAGCGGGGAGCCCAGCCAACAGTAAGTTGCAGTAATTCAGACGGGAGATGACAAGTGCCTGGATTAGGACCTGCGCCACTTCCTGTCTGAGCTAGGGTCGTACTCTACGGATGTTGTAGAGCATGAACCTGCAGGAGCGAGTCACTGCTTTTATGTTTTCAGAGAACGACAGGGTGTTGTCCAGGGTCACGCTTTGGTTCTCTGCATTCTGGAAGGGGGACACCGTGGAGTTGTCAATCTTGATGGAGAGGTCTTTGAGTGGGCAGCCCTTCCCCGGAAGGAAAAGCAGCTCCATCTTGTCAAGGTTGAGCTTGAGTTGGTGGGCCGACATCTAAGCTGAGATATCTGCCAGGCACGCAGAGATGCGTGTCGCCACCTGGGTGTCAGAAGCGGGAAGGAGAAAAGTAGTTGAGTCATCCGCATAGCAATGATAGGAGAGACCATGTGAGGATTCCATCCATGAAACATCCTCTTAGCAGGATGTGCTTCTTTCTAGTACAACACATTACTGTGTCAGTGTGACCCTGATATCTGTCTAACCTTTGACCTCTCGTCCCCCTCTCTTCTCCCAGGCGGAGGGTGATGTGGCGGGTCTGAACCGCAGGATCCAGCTGGTGGAGGAGGAGTTGGACCGGGCCCAGGAGAGGCTGGCCACCGCGCTGCAGAAACTGGAGGAGGCCGAGAAGGCTGCGGACGAGAGCGAGAGGTCAGTACCAGCCAGCCACAGAAACTGATGTATTTACAATCTTTCATCTTTAATTTGACCGCATATTTATATTTATATGCCCGTTTTCCTGCTGGTTTGAGGCCCATTGGATAGTACCAGGCACATGCAGCTTGCTTTGATGGTTCTTTATTGTTATAGGTTTTGACGCCATGTCCATTGCTAGCAAATGACCAGCCCCTTCATTAGCGTACTGAAAGCGATATTTCCCGGAAAGCCATCTTGAATGTGTAAAACAATTCAATGTGCCTCCATATTGGGTGGGCTGTGTAAATTATACTTGAAATTGAGTGTGTCTTGGGTGTTGCTGACATTACTGTGTGTCCTGTACTATCAGAGGCATGAAGGTGATAGAGAACCGGGCCTCCAAGGACGAGGAGAAGATGGAGATGCAGGAGATGCAGCTAAAGGAGGCCAAACACATCGCTGAGGAGGCCGACCGCAAATACGAGGAGGTGAGACTTCACATGGTCCCATAGAGTTTGGCCTGTCTGGGGTTAAATCCACTCATAGAAGTATCCCTTAACACACTCCTACTGTTCCACTAATATGGTTCGCTCTCTACTTTAGGTGGCCCGTAAGCTGGTGATCCTTGAGGGAGAACTGGAGAGAGCTGAGGAGAGGGCTGAGGTCTCAGAACTGTAAGTGCAGCACACACCTCCTACACTGAAATAAGAGGGTAAACAAAGGTCCTTGAAATGAACATGTGACGATCCTTCCAGTATTGTGTATGTCATTATTGAGATGCCAATCAATGCTAAGTCATTTTCTTCCTTTATTCGGCGGTAGTAAATGCAGTGATCTGGAGGAGGAGTTGAAAAATGTGACCAACAACCTCAAATCCCTAGAAGCCTCATCTGAGAAGGTCAGTGTGCATACTATTACATCATACAAGTAAATACAGTCAACTACTGATGAGTGCAAACTCAGTTTAAATGCAGTGTAGATCACCAGTCCCAATTCAAATACATTCTTTTAACTTATTCTGATATCTGCATGTTCTGGGTTAGTTCACCCACTTAAGGCAGTCCCAAATCAGGAGTTGACTATACATGGCTGACATGCAAGCAGAGTTGTTTTGAGTATAATCACTGCCTGACACACTTTAATCTTCAGACATCTGAACAAAGATGCTGTTATCACCTGACAAATTGGATGTTGATTTCTTTATGATAATGTTGATGGAACATAAAGCCCTGGACCAGCACAGACCTTTCTCTGCATTCCTACCCAGCCAGCTTAGTGCCAGTCATGCCACATGAATCCCCCTCAGCCACTTAAGTAGTTGCCCAGTGCTGATTAAATCACTGCCCTTCTCATGGTTGGCATCACAGCACGATGTGTTCCTTATACCCATGCTAACACACTGCCAGTTTATCATACCTGAAGAGTTGTATTTAGGGTTGCAAAGCTACCGGTAATTTACCAAAGTTACAGTAATTTTGGTAATTAACAGAAATTATACAGTGCCTTGCAAAAGTATTCATCCCCCTTGGTGTTTTCCTATTTTGTTGCATTACAACCGGTAATTTAAATGTATTTTTATTTGGATTTCATGTAATGGACAAAATAGTCAAAATTGGTGAAATGAAAAAACAACTTGTTTAAAAAAAGTATAAAAAATAAATAACGGAAAAGTGGTGCGTGCATATGAAGACCCTAAATAAGGTCTGGTGCAACCAATTACCTTCAGAAGTCACATAAATAAGTAAATAGTTAAATAAAGTCCACCTGTGTGCAATCGAAGTGTCACATGATCTCAGTATACAGTTGAAGTCAGAAGTTTACATACACTTAGGTTGGAGACATTTAAAACTCGTTTTTCAACCACTCCACAAATTTCTTGTTAACAAACTATAGTTTTGGCAAGTCAGTTAGGACATCTACAGTGGGGAGAACAAGTATTTGATACACTGCCGATTTTGCAGGTTTTCCTACTTACAAAGCATGTAGAGGTCTGTAATTTTTATCATAGGTACACTTCAACTGTGAGAGATGGAATCTAAAATAAAAATCCAGAAAATCACATTGTATGATTTTTAAGTAATTAATTTGCATTTTATTGCATGACATAAGTATTTGATACATCAGAAAAGCATAACTTAATATTTGGTACAGAAACCTTTGTTTGCAATTACAGAGATCATACGTTTCCTGTAGGTCTTGACCAGGTTTGCACACACTGCAGCAGGGATTTTGGCCCACTCCTCCATACAGACCTTCTCCAGATCCTTCAGATTTCGGGGCTGTCGCTGGGCAATACGGACTTTCAGCTCCCTCCAAATATTTTCTATTGGATTCAGGTCTGGAGACTGGCTAGGCCACTCCTGGACCTTGAGATGCTTCTTACGGAGCCATTCCTTAGTTGCCCTGGCTGTGTGTTTCGGGTCGTTGTCATGCTGGAAGACCCAGCCACGACCCATCTTCAATGCTCTTACTGAGGGAAGGAGGTTGTTGGCCAAGATCTCGCGATACATGGCCCCATCCATCCTCCCCTCAATACGGTGCAGTCATCCTGTCCCCTTTGCAGAAAAGCATCCCCAAAGAATGATGTTTCCACCTCCATGCTTCACGGTTGGGATGGTGTTCTTGGGGTTGTACTCATCCTTCTTCTTCCTCCAAACACGGCGAGTGGAGTTTAGACCAAAAAGCTCTATTTTTGTCTCATCAGACCACATCACCTTCTCCCATTCCTCCTCTGGATCATCCAGATGGTCATTGGCAAACTTCAGACGGGCCTGGACATGCGCTGGCTTGAGCAGGAGGACCTTGCGTGCGCTGCAGGATTTTAATCCATGACGGCGTAGTGTGTTACTAATGGTTTTCTTTGAGACTGTGGTCCCAGCTCTCTTCAGGTCATTGACCAGGTCCTGCCGTGTAGTTCTGGGCTTATCACTCACCTTCCTCATGATCATTGATGCCCCACGAGGTGAGATCTTGCATGGAGCCCCAGACCGAGGGTGATTGACCGTCATCTTGAACTTCTTCCATTTTCTAATAATTGCGCCAACAGTTGTTGCCTTCTCACCAAGCTGCTTGCCTATTGTCCTGTAGCCCATCCCAGCCTTGTGCACGTCTACAATTTTATCCCTGATGTCCTTACACAGCTCTCTGGTCTTGGCCATTGTGGAGAGGTTGGAGTCTGTTTGATTGAGTGTGTGGACAGGTGTCTTTTATACAGGTAACGAGTTCAAACAGGTGCAGTTAATACAGGTAATGAGTGGAGAACAGGAGGGCTTCTTAAAGAAAAACTAACAGGTCTGTGAGAGCCGGAATTCTTACTGGTTGGTAGGTGATCAAATACTTATGTCATGCAATAAAATGCAAATGAATTACTTAAAAATCATACAATGTGATTTTCTGGATTTTTGTTTTAGATTCCGTCTCCCACAGTTGATGTGTACCTATGATAAAAATTACAGACCTCTACATGCTTTGTAAGTAGGAAAACCTGCAAAATCGGCAGTGTATCAAATACTTGTTCTCCCCACTGTATATCATAATTTTGGTAATATTTACTTGAATAACTTAAATGTTTTATTCATATATAGTATTCATTTTGTTATACTTGTGTCCGTATTGTCCATGAGTTTATTGTAGATAGACCATGTAGTTAAAGAAAAAAAAAAGCCAAATTAATGAAAAAAGCATCTAATCAACAATGGCATTATTTTCAATTAACTCTGCAACTCTTCAAACAATTTACTTTTTTTCACAACTGCCACCAGTTTGACGCCAAAACATTAACAAATACATATTGACATAGTAAAATAAATAATACAAGTTTGTAAAAAAACATATGATGGATATTTCAGGCTGAAACCCTCATATTAAACACCATTGGTATTCACTAAGTTGATGCTTTATATTTAGGATAATGTTTTACAGCTTTGTCATTCCAATCTTTTTATTTTAAAATCATCTTATTTAATATATTTTACATGTGATAAGGTCACACAGAGAGCCAAGAGATTATTACAGACACCTGTGATAATCTGAAGTACCCAAAAGGGCCACTAGATGTTTGTGATAGATTACATAAAATCCTTGAAAGATACCAAAATGTTGGTCGTTTACTGGTAAACGTTTTCAGTAATATAGCCTCCCTTTGCAACCCTAGTTGCATTACAGCGAAGCATGGTTGACAAACAGTCCTGCAAGATTATCGCTCTCAATGCACTTTCATGTCTGTCTGTTTCTGTATTCGTATCTGTCTCTGAGATGTCTGGTCTGACATGTTCAAGATTTCAGAGCTTGCCTGTAACAGACTTTGTCTTGTATTTTGACAGTACTCAGAAAAAGAGGACAAGTATGAGGAGGAGATCAAGGTTCTTAGTGACAAGCTGAAGGAGGTAAGTGGCTGCTGGCATCTTATTTGATTCTTAGTTCATACAGTAGTAAGCCAATTTGCTCCATGTCAAAAATGCCATCCTGTTCTGACCCCCCCTCCCTCTGTGTCCCCCAGGCTGAGACTCGTGCAGAGTTTGCAGAAAGGACAGTGGCCAAACTGGAAAAGTCCATCGACGACCTGGAAGGTATGAGTGCTTAAAACGCTGTTGCAAACTGCTCTATGGTATTTAGATAAAAGAGAAGGTAAACGTATCTTAGCGTGGAGAGAAAGTTCCTGTAAATTAGACATACTTTATTGCAGAAGATTAAACTATATTTTGAAAAGAACTGTTTTATCATTGTTCTCAGTTGCATCTCAGACTTCTAAACCTGAGTTGCTCTAATGAGAACATTCCATGTCAGTAAAGTAGGAAAGATGTCGAGCTGTTCAGGACTGTTCAGGATTCCCCAGTGTATGTAGTTTCCTAGGTCAAGAGGTCTAGATATTTAATCCTCTCCCTGAGCAATGAAACGACATGTTATTATGCACAGTTCCATTTTGTGATGCAGTTTCACATTGAAACGGTCCTAGCTAAAGTTTTGTTTCAACTAGCTGGAAATATTTATCTGGAAGAAAGGGTACCCTGCCAAACATATGGAAACTTCTCCAACAAGCTAATAAAACACACTGCCTTGGTCTCAAGTGTAAAGAAATATGTAGGCCCATTTTCTACTAACCAATGAGCACCTATTTTGGTCTGATGTCTGCACTAAGAACAGAGTGCTCAAATTCCTTTTAGATCAGCATTTTTGGTTCTAGAGCCACATGTAACGGGTTTACCGATATGAAGTACTTTTCTGAAAACCTTGATATAGGCATAAATGCTTAAGGTAGTCATCTCCTGCCCCCCCAAAAAGATTTGCAACATATTTTCATTTTAGAATGCTCACAGGTAGACAAACATCTCTTATCTTTCTGGCATATTCTCTTCTTTCATTTTTATACTGTATGAATTTTCTCTTTTGCATCCACTGACCTGTCCTCTCTTTCTCTTCCCTCTTTTTTTGCCGCCACTTCCTTTTTGATTCCCTGTCCTGTCCTCCACCTCTCTCGGCTGCTGCTGCTGCTGCTTTCCTTGTGCCTTACCTGCACTACTTCCTGCTGCCCTTTGACCTCCAGATGAACTTTACGCTCAGAAGCTGAAGTACAAGGCTATCAGCGAGGAGCTGGACCATGCCCTCAATGACATGACCTCCTTGTAGACATCTCTTTCTGCCTGTCTCCTGCTGCCTCCAGGGTCTGTCCTCTCACCCTTCCCACTTTAGGCTATTGTGTCCCAGGGTTAGCCTCCTGAAATAACATTTCTCCTGTTCTTTGTGCCTTCTGTCCATCTCACTGTGCAATTAAACTAATTAAAAGCTAATTATTTCCTACATCTCAACTCTCCTTTCTTCTTGAATGAAATAGTACTGATATTACATAGTCTTTATAATGTGATAAACAACTGTTTTAAGGTGAGAATTTATGGAGGGTGGCATGCATTCACATTGAGTGTCCCTCACCTCCTTTTTATAAAACATTTGTCACGCAACTTCATACATTACCGTCATCAGTGTTATATATGCAAATCTACCTTTTGTTTTGGGCAGGGTTCTTTTAGTGTGTTTGGGTTTTGCAAATGGAACAACTTAACACAACCACAGCAGTTACAGTATGTAAAACAGCTGTTAGACATCCTGTATAGGAATGGCTTTGGATTCTGTGTAGAATATTGTTTACCAAACCTAAGGAGAATGAATTCATATTAATCAACTTTATGGTGGTCCTGTCATGTGTGGTTTTATTCAATATTTCTTCAATGTATTTTTTGTTTTATTTTTAGAAAAATTAGCATGTGCCAAAGAAGAAAACCTGGGAATGCATCAAGTCCTGGATCAAACACTGCAAGAGCTCAACAGCTTATAAAGATGACGATGATGATGATGATGAGGAAGATGGAGAGGATAAAAGTCTTGCAACATTCCATAAATATTCTATTTCATTCCACATTTTGAGCTGTGAAGTCTTTTTCCCAGCGAAAGGGGATTAACTTAAATACTTGTACACTTAATAGTTCTCTCTTTTTAAGTCACAACTTTCTCTCTAATGTCTCTGTTCAAGAGAAATACATACCAACCTTCCTCGAATCCCCTGATTCTTATGTGTACAGCATTTTGTTTTCTGGAACTTTGAGATTATAGACCAGCGTTAGAGAAAATTGATAACAGACCAAATGGATAATCACACCAATGAGTCAAGAATAGAAAAACGACAACTCATATTTGAAATGTGCACTCCAACATCATGTTTTTGAAATAGGTTATGTTATATGTATGGCCTTCATTTATGTATGATTCATGAGCTCCACCTAGAGTTCTTATGCGAACAGTTGACAGGAATCAGCTTTTACCAACTGACATGGTCATATTTAGTGCATGCACAATGTATGTGAACATATCCATAGGTTGGACTGTGCCTTTTAATAATGAGCCAATATTCTAGCTTTGGTGTATGTGTGTGTGTTAACATGGTCATTGAGACTAGAGGAAGACTCATGGAAAGGATGGTGAACATGTCTGTGGTGCTACTGCTGGTGGTAAAACACTTTGACTGTCAGTCAGGTGGCGGGATTGCCAAAGCCAAAATAAACATCATACAAATCTTTAAAAGAACTACATCCCCTTCCGCTATGGCCTGACATGCCTGCCACTATCCCAGCTCTGCATTTGACTGCCTAGCCTAAGTGTAAAATCATATTCCTGTTATTATATTATGGTGGTAGCATATTTAGTAAAACTGAAACCAAAACAGCACCCCTGGGTCCACAATCAAGGTAATAAAACATGGATACTTATTGTACATAGTAGAATAATGATAGTTATTGAGATGTATTGCTCCAGTTTTACACTACTTTCGGTCAGGGGAACTCTCGAAACCAAAGAATACACATACCAAGAGAAGATGAACTGTCAAAATGTTTTATTGTTGTCTGTGAAGGTGATCAATCATGGCTTCTCATCCTTCAGCCTTGAAAAAAGCCTCATATTTTAATGAGTCTGTGTTTAAATGTTTCATTCACTTTTCCCGCTTTCAGTTTAATAAATTTGTACACAACGACCTGGCTCAAGAGATGATTTATTATAATATTTAGTAAGAAAAATAGAAATGTCAAACATTCAGAGACAAACCACTTCAACATATATTACATTATTGCTATTCAATATGAAAAGAATACATATTGTAGTTGAACAATATTGTAATCTGTTTACATCATAATAAGGACAAAACACTCAATAAGCTCAGCTGAATATCCCCATTCCATTCAATATAATTTAATATTTTCTGAATCATCCATGGTCCACATTTCACGATTGATCACAGTTGATAGCTCACTACTGAAATCTCACTCAGTGTTGCTTTCTTCTGAAGGAGCAGCCTGGATAGGGGTGAGAAAGAGAACTGGTAAAGTCAATAATCAGTAGACATTCAACAGAGCTCTACACTAATATATTTTGGGCATATGCTACTGTATAAGTTATTGAGCAATGTGATTGTACAACAGTCTTCTTACCCTCAGTGAGGCGGCATTTCCCCCCTCTGGGCTGGCACAGGATGAAGGAGCAGCCGCCACAGGGCACCACTTTCTGGGCATGACTGAACACTGTGGTGATCCTGTAGCAGCCTGGAATAAAGTTGAAAACAAATGTGTTTTTCTGTAACCTTATATAATATTTTTTCTTTAATAAACATTTGTAAATGCTATATTTATTTTCATGCTTTATTTTTTGTAAATTATTATAATTCTTATACACTACCAGTCAAAAGTTTGGACACACCTACTCATTCAAGGGTTTTTCTTTATTAAAAAAAAAAAGTACATTGTAGAATAATAGTGAAGTTATCAAAACAATGAAATTACATATGGAATCATGTAGTAACCAAATAAATGTTAAACAAATCAAAATATATTTTATATGTAAGATTCTTCAAATAGCCAGGTGTGCCTTCTTAAAAGATAATTTGTGGAATTTATTTCCTTCTTAATGCGTTTGAGCATACAGAAGACAGCCCTATTTGGTAATAGACCAAGTCCATATTATGGCATAAACAGCTCAAATAAGCAAAGAGAAACAACAGTCCATCATTACTTTAAGACATGAAGGTCAGTCAATACTGAAAATGTCAAGAACTTTGAAAGTTTCTTCAAGCGCAGTCGCAAAAACTATCAAGCGCTATGATGAAACCGGCTCTCATGAGGACCGCCACAGGAATGGAAGACCCAGAGTTACCTCTGCTGCAGAGGATAAGTTCATTAGAGTTACCAGCCTCAGAAATTGCAGCCCAAATAAATGCTTCACAGAGTTCAAGTAACAGACACATCTCAACATCAACTGTTCAGAGGGGACTGTGTGAATCAGGCCTTCATGGTCGAATTGCTGCAAAGAAACCACTACTAAAGGCCACCAATAAGAAGAAGAGACCTGCTTGGGCCAAGAAACACAAGTGATGGACATTAGACCGATGGAAATGTGTCCTTTGGTGTGGAGTCCAAATTGGAGATTTTGGGTTCAAACCACATTGTCTTTGTGAGACGCGGTGTGGGTGAACGGATGATCTCCGCATGTGTAGTTCCCACCGTAAAGCATGGAGGAGGAGGTGTTATGGTGTGGGGGTGCTTTGCTGGTGACACTGTCTGTGATTTATTTAGAATTCAAGGCACACTTAACCAGCATGGCTACCACAGCATTCTGCAGCGATACGCCATCCCATCTGGTTTGGGCTTAGTGGGACTATCATTTGTTTTTCAACAGGACAATGACCCAACACATCTCCAGGGTGTGTAAGGGCTATTGTACCAAGAAGGAGAGTGAGGAGTGCTGCATCAGATGACCTGGCCTCCACAATACCCCGACCTCAACCCAATTGAGATGGTTTGGGATGAGTCGGACTGCAGAGTGAAGGAAAAGCAGCCAACAAGTGCTCAGCATATGTCGGAACTCCTTCAAGACTGTTGGAATAGCATTCCAGGTGAAGCTGGTTGAGAGAATGTCAAGAGTGTGCAAAGCTATCATCAAGGCACAGGGTGGCTATTTGAAGAATCTCAAATATAAAATATATTTTGATTTGTTTAACACTTTTTTGGTTACTAAATGATTCCATATGTGTTATTTCATAGTTTTGATGTCTTCACTATTATTCTACAATGTAAAGATTAGTACAAATAAATAAAAACCCTTGAATGAGTAGGTGTGTCCAAACTTTTGACTGGTACTGTAGATGTCAATGCAAAAAGTTGCAACTTGGGCAGTTGATGTAGCCTACATCCTTAATACTCACCAGGGCATTTTACATCCATGAAGTAGGAGTTGGGACTCTGAACCAACCTCTTCTTCTTGTGTCTTTGCCTCTCAGCCTCCAAAGTAGGGTGCAATAGGTCCTTAGCAAGCTGCAATATGGATTAATGTATAAATATATGTTTTCACAGCTCGCACCATTAGAACCATTGAAAAATATAAAACCATATGAAAGGGGAAACCATTAGTTTGTTATAATCGTTGATATAAATGTATGGTTTTGATGTAAATAAGTCAAGGGCACCCTCTCATGTCTGATACAAGAACTGCAGCAGAGCTATTTCTGAGGCATGCCCAGACATGTATCCCATTCCCAGAACAGGCACCTCTATTTTATTTGCTAAATGGGTCATGTTTTAAACCAAACCATAGTCTTCTTAACTTATTGTTGAACTTGACTGAATCATTAGCTAGTGCTGAGCGATTAACCGAGATTTAGTTTTGTTCCGGTTATTAAACAACTAATTGACCAACGTCAGTCAATTACTTGGATTCCATTTAGTTTGGTTTTAGTGGGTGGGTGGATGTATAATGCGAAGATCAAGCAACCCAAAGGTTGCAAGTTCGAATCTCATCATGGACAACTTTAGCATTTTCACTTATTAACAACTTTTCAACTACTTACTACTTTTTATAACTACTTCACAACTACTTAGCATTTTTGCTATCCCTTCCCCTAACCATTTTAGCTAACCCTTCACATAACCCTAACCTAACTCCTAAATTTAACCTTAAGCCTAACCCCTAGCCTAGCTAACATTAACGAGCTAGCTAACGTTAGCCACCTAGCTAGAATTCGTAACAGAATAATACGAAATAATCTGAAACCAGGTTGCCACCGGCTGACTGTTACTGCCTAAACAGAGAAGGGATTATTAGGCTATTAAAAATAATAAAATAATAAAATAAAAAGTAACACATACACTGGAAATATTGTATTATTTCAACTAATTTCTTATTTTTCTACATTTAAGTCATTTAGCAGACGCTCTTATCCAGAGCGACTTACATGAGCAATTAGGGTTAAGTGCCTTGCTCAAGGGCACATCGACAGATTTTTCATCTAGTCGGCTCAGGGATTAGAACCAGCGACCTTTCGGTTACTGGCACAACGCTCTTAACCACTAAGCTACCTGCCGCCCTATTGACGTCTACCCAATGGAACCTGATAGAGACAATGGAATATTTTCAATGTTTTGGCAAATGAATGTTCACTATTTTTGGCTTTGCAATTTCCATTAAAAATACCTAAAATCATTGTAATGCAATTATTTCATAATGCATTTCATGTTTAAAAAAATGATCGAAAACGAAAACCATGATTTTTTTTAAATAATCGAACTGAAACGGAAGCAACCTCAAAAAGCACTAATAACTCAGCACTATTAGCTACTGACTGCAATGTTCATGGTCAAGACACGACCTCCAATAAACATGTACACGTTGTACAGTATTTGACTGGCTATTCCAAAGATGTAAACACAATACGTGTGGCTATACTTCTCACATGAGCAAAGGAAAAACACTTACCGACATTGCTTCTCTTGGTTATTGTTATTTCACTCACTGGCACTGCACTTTCGACTTTGATTAGAAAATTATAGCACTGCTTGCAGACTAATATCGTTGTTGTGAAGCTGAGAAGATAAGGGTGGGATCACATCTTAATGGGTGGGATATTGCCTGCAAGCGCACAATCAGCTGACGTTTCCATTTTGATTGACAGCTGGTAATTCAGGGATCCACAGCAGCAAGAGAGACATGTTGTTAGTCCAATCACTGGTCCAGTAAATCGGGCAAAGTAGCAACGTATCTCTTTGCAAAACTGCCGGGCGGGATTTCCGCAATTGCTAATAATATGGCGAAGACTTACGATTACTTGTTTAAACTACTGTTAATCGGCGATTCTGGCGTCGGAAAGACATGTGTGTTGTTCAGGTTTTCAGAAGATGCCTTCAACTCAACATTTATCTCCACAATTGGTATGTGAATTTCGTAAGTTTTCTGGTTAGAAAAGTTATGCCGGAGGACGGGTAGCTAGCAGCAATGCTAGTGAGCGCCCATCCTGTCATGCTATCGCTAGTTAGCTGGCTAGCTATCTATCTATCTTATTTGGTTAGCATTCAGGACTAGCTAGCTAGTTAATTTAACCGGCTTGTCACTTCTCGATTGGCAATAAAACCAGCACTTCAGCATCCCCGTCATACCTCAAATTGAGATTTTCATGAGATTTAAGCAGGCGACGTCACCTGACTCCTTAGCTAACTAACGTTAGCTGTCAAGTGAGCAAAAACAAGCTTACTCTGACTCGTTAGCTAGCTAAATTAACAGTGAAGTTCACTTCCTACACAACAAGCAATACATGAAAGAGTTTGCTAGTTCAAACCACTCACTGTAACATTACAGAAAGGTTAGTTTAGTAGCTACAGGTTGGGGAGGTATCCCCTGAAGTTATGCAGCCATTTACGTTAGACAAGCCATCTCTCAAATTGAAGTTGTGCACTTCCTGTGTCTGGCCTGCAGCATCATCTAAAAAGATGGGCCTCCGTAGCCAGAACCCAGTCTCTCTGGACATGATATCATGCAAATAAATACTAGCTAGCCTTCAAGCAAATGTTGAATGCAGTCTGCTTTTGCCACTTGTGCATAAACAATGCTGTAGGCCTACTGCGGCAGGTAACTTAGTGGGTAAGAGCATTGTGCCAGTAACCGAAAGGTCGCTGGTTCTAATCCCCGAGCCGACTAGGTGAAAAATCTGTCGATGTGCCCTTAAGGGTACTTAACCCTAATTGCTCCTGTAAGTCGCTCTGGATAAGAGCGTCTGCTAAATGACTCAAATGTAAATGTACAAAATAAATCAACCTCAAATGGTTGTGTTTCAAGGATCCTTTGTCGTTTGGAGCGCTGTGGTTAGACAATAGTGAAATAAAATTAAGTGGGTAGCAGTGCAAGAATTGTCTCACTCTTGCTATTCCTCTTTTAGGTATTGACTTTAAAATTAGAACTGTAGAACTAGACGGTAAGAAGATCAAGCTACAGATATGGTAAGACAGCCCTTTGACTTCTTCACAGAATGTCTCTGAAATTATGTCTTGAGAAAGTGCACGTTTGGAATGATCAAAATTGGCCTTTAATTCTACAATTGGGTTAAATCAGGGATGGGAATTAAAGGCTCTCATTGTGTTGTTCTCTCCCAGGGACACAGCTGGCCAGGAGCGGTTTCGAACAATCACAACAGCATACTACAGAGGAGCCATGGTCAGTTGCCTTGCTTCACTATGTCACTCTCACAATGTCACTCTCCTACATGAGAATAAAATCCATATTCAGAGACTTTCATGGCGATCAATTTTTGCATCATTTATGTTAGGCCTAGATTGCACGCTAGTTTGAGTCCCTCCCTTTATTTTGTAAATGAAGCACTACATACCTGAGATCATCCATGGGATGTGTGTGAAATCGCACTGGAATCCTGTTCAGGCCCTTCATAACAATTAGCTTTTCTCTCAAGTGTACAAGTCTCTCAAGTTTACCAGGATGTTAATATCTGACATACATTGTTAAAATGGTTGTTGTTTACCAAGTCTCTGTTTTTGTTTTTCTCCCCAGGGCATCATGTTGGTCTACGACATCACCAATGAGAAGTCATTTGACAACATCAAGAACTGGATAAGGAATATAGAGGAGGTAATTATCAGAAATTATCAACAGGGTAGATTGGTTCCTGGATGCTGATTTGCTGAAACAGCATTTTAAATGTCACATGGTGCCTAAGAACAGTGTTTCCGCTGCAATCATTTAGCTGTGGCGCAGGCAAACTCACTGCTCAATGACAAAAAAAATTTGAACAAAAATATTGAAAGACGCTAGAACAGTCCACATTTACTTTTTTCCTGCAAACAAAACGAGTAATGACTAGAAACACCAGACAACCCCATAGTAAAATAGTTGATCTATTTACCTAGTCAGCTTGTTGTGCGTTCTATGCTAGATAAATATTCCTCTCAAGGCGCATTCAAGTTATGAGTGCCATAGGGAGGGAAACATGTTTCCTGACAAGCAGTCAAAAATAATATTGTGATATTGTCAAAATGATACAATATATTGTCAAAAATAAAATCCCGATATGTAACTGTATCGATTATTTTCCCCCATCACAAATATCAAATAATATGGACCATGCATAGGCTATATGCATGGTCCAATATGCTAAAATAATTCTAACACATATTTTTATCAATATGTTATTGGGATCATTTCTGGAGGTGGAAATTATATTTGAGATGGTGTCAGCATGATTTTATTTTCATTAATTTTGGAGTAGAATGTCCTTTTTAAAAAGTCACCAGAACTGAGCTTCTCAGTCCTTCTACGTAAAAATTATCCAGTGGGGACCCCAGACACCATAAACAGTTCTAATTACGTTTGTAACCAGTTTATAATAGCAATAAGGCACCTTAGGGGTTTGTGGTATATGGCCAATATACCACGGCTAAGGGCTGTTCTTACGCACGACGCAACGCGGAGTGCCTGGATACAACCCTTAGCCATGGTATATTGGCCAAATACCACACCCCTTTGGGCCTTATTGCTTACATATACCGTAACCACACCACCTCGGGCCTTATCGCTTAATTGTAACGTGCAGTGCATTCGAAAAGTATTCAGACACCTTCCCCTTTTCCACATTTTATTACGTTACAGCCTTGTTCTAAAATGGATTACATACATTTTTTCCCTCATCAATCTACACACAATACCCTTTAATGACAAAGCGAAAACAGGTTTTTAGAAAATGTTGCAAATGTATTACAAATAACAAACAGAAATACCTTATTTACATAAGTATTCAGACCCTTTGCTATGAGACTCGAAATTGAGCTCAGGTGCATCCTGTTTCCATTGATCATCCTTGATGTTTCTGCAACTTGATTGGAGTCCACCTGTGGTAAACTCAATTGATTGGACATGATTTGGAAAGTCACACACCTGTCTATATAAGGTCCCACAGTTGACAGTGCATGTCAGAGCAAAAACCAAGCCATGAGGTCAAAGGAATTGCCCGTAGAGCTCCGAGACAGGATTGTGTCGAGGCACAGATCTGGGGAAGGGTACCAAAACATTTCTGCAGCATTGAAGGTCCCCAGGAACACCGTGGCCTCCATCATTCTTAAATGGAAGAAGTTTGGAACCACCAAGACTCTTCCTAGAGCTGGCCGCCCGGCCAAACTGAGCAATCGGAGGAGAAGGGTCTTGGTCAGGGAGGTGACCAAGAACCTGATGGTCACTCTGACAAAGCTCCAGAGTTTCTCTGTGGAGATGGGAGAACCTTCCAGAAGGACAACTATCTCTGCAGCACTCCACCAATCAGAGCTTTATGGTAGAGTGGCCAGACGGAAGCCACTCCTCAGTAAAAGGCACATGACAGCCCGCTTGGGGTTTGCCAAAAGGCACTTAAAGACTCTCAGTCCATGAGCCACAAGATTCTCTGATGAAACTAAGATTGAACTCTTTGGCCTGAATGCCAAGCGTCACGTCTGGAAGAAACCTGGCACCATCCCTACGGTGAAGCATGGTGGTGGCAGCATCATGCTGTGGGGGTGTTTTTCAGCAGCAGGGACTGGGAGACTAGTCAGGATCAAGGCAAAGATTAACTGAGGAAAGTACAGAGAGATCCTTGATAAAAACCTGCTCCAGAGTGCTCAGGACCTCAGACTGGGGCGAAGGTTCACCTTCCAACAGGACAACGACCCTAAGCACACAACCGACAATGCAGGAGTGGCTTCGGGACAAGTCTCTGAATGTCCTTGAGTGACCCAGCCAGAGCCCGGACTTGAACCTGATCTAACATCTCTGGAGAGACCTGAAAATAGCTGTGCAGCGATGCTCCCCATCCATCCTGACAGAGCTTGAGAGGATCTGCAGAGAAGAATGAGAGAAACTCCCCAAAAACAGGTGCGCCAAGCTTGTAGCGTCATACCCAAGAAGACTCAAGGCTGTAATCGCTGCCAAAGGTGCTTCAACAAAGTACTGAGTAAAGGGTCTGAATACTTATGTTTTTTTATATATATATTCATTTGCAAACATTTCTAAAAACATGTTTTTGCTTTGTCATTATGGGGTATTGTGTGTAGAATGAGGGGGAAAAACAATTTAATCCATTTTAAAATAAGGCTGTAACGTAATAAAATGTGTAAAAAGTCAAGCGGTCTGAATACATTCCGAATGCACTGTAAATCTCTGAAGTCTGTACGAGAACAGAAATGACTTTTTTTATTTAAGTACGTTTTAGTGAAAAGTAGCAATTGCATTACATTACACTTTATGTATGATCAATCTTCTGTCTTCGTGTCCAGCATGCCTCTGCTGACGTGGAGAAGATGGTTCTGGGCAACAAGTGTGACGTCAATGACAAACGACAGGTGTCCAAAGATGGAGGGGAGAAGGTGGGTGATCATCACTGATCAGGAAATGAAAAATATCATATCATAAACTACCTGACTGATATCCAAGTGTCTATACAGTAGATGTAGATGTTTTGTGCTACTGTCCATGTTTGCTGTGTGACAGGTGTCCAAAGACAGACGGGAGAAGGTGGGTGATCAGTAAACGTTATGTAGGCTATTATCAATAATTATAATCAATGACTCGCATCTGAGTATCTACAGATAGATAGATTTGGTAGATTTGTGATTGAGCTACTGTCCATGTTCGCTGAGTCTTTTTTTGTGCGTCCCATTTATCTCCCTTTGGCAGTTGGCGTTGGAGTATGGTATCAAGTTTATGGAGACCAGTGCAAAGGCCAATATCAACGTGGAGAATGTGAGTTGACTCATTCTCAGCAGTTAAAAAAACAACAATGGAAGTACAGTAATTGTTCTGTTGGGTTGAAAGAGACTGCACATTGTTTTGTCTCTTTGATCTCAATTTGTCCTGTTTTTTCCACCTTGACATTTCAGGCATTTATGACCCTTGCAAGAGACATCAAGGCGAAAATGGACAAGAAATTAGTAAGTGTGTGTGTTGAATGTGCAAACCTATTTTAGATGGGGTATTGTGTATGTGCTATGACTAAAACTGTTTATGTGTGTGTTCCAGGAGGGCAACAATCCTCAGGGCAGCAGTCATGGTGTGAAGATCACAGAACAGCCCAAGAAGAGCAGTTTCTTCCGCTGCACCCTCCTGTGAGGACCACGATCTTATCATTGTCCACAGCTGGACAGAACTGGACTGGGCTTGCTCAGAGCTCTCCTCTCCTCTTTCGCCATGTTCTCATCCCTCTCTCATTCCCGATATCCCAGACCTCTTTGGGCTTTGAGCTTTTTTCTGCTTCTTCATGTGCCCCCAGTTTACAAACGGTAGCGTTTATTGGCAGGTGGATCAATCAGTAGATCAATCAGGGTTGTTGGATGGGTGTTAGATGGAGGTCTCTATACCAGGCACTCTTCTGTACCATCATGCTCTTATATCGTCTCTCGTAATTACACGTAGGTTTCTGCTCACCCTCTCCTTTCTCTCTGTCTTCTGCAACGGTTATTGTCACAGATACTGTATGTTGCTCTGTGGTTGCACTGCTGCCAAAGTTGAACCTTAGTGAGGTTTTGTCTCAACATGGATTGACCTTATTCTTAAAAGCAGTGGCTTAATTCCATGATAAGACTAATTAACCATCATACATCTGACGTCTTCTGTGAGATTGTTGACTTCCGTGTCATCTAGCTACTATGGAGATTTATTCCAAATGTGTCATCTATGCGTCCCTGTTTTTCCTTTCTCAAATGATAGTGATTCTCTCTTATTCTACCTTGAAAATCCCCATTTGCCATCCAACAAATAACATACAAGAAAGCCACTTATTTTCTTATGATAATACTTTAGGTAAGATAATACAATTCTGAAGTGTTAGTCTTACAATGTTAATAGTAAAGACATACCATTTTAACGACATAGCTGAAAATTAGCTTCTGTGTTCAGTATTTTACGTGTACTCTACCATTATGCAGTTCAGATTATTTTAATGCGCAAGGTTTGCAATGATTATAAACCATATATTTGAGTGTTAGAACAATTCTATGCGCTGGTAACTGCACATTGAGTTAAACCCTGTTTTACTGTGTACTCTTGCACTTTAGTAGTGAAATTGGCTTCACAGCTTACAATTTGCAAAAGCATGTCTTATTCCGGTCCCTTGTATGGAAGTATAGGAATATGTCAGTATTCATTAGAACTATTACATTCCAGAACTTGTGCCAGAGGCTATAAGTTATAATCATCTGTTCCACAATAACATCAGTCTAGTTAGGAAATTAATTGTAATCTAACAATTGAATGCATACATTTACCACATTTTTAGTTTTGGCATTCAAAATGTGTTTTAATATTATACCACTCCACAAAACATTGTGAGTACCTCATTGCCCCAAATATTCATTTTATGTATGATGCAGAGACCACTGAAATAGACATATAGTCCTTTGGGTGGTAATTGCTTTATGTCATTTTTAACGTGCTATGTCTTATGCACCCTTTTCAAATTCCAGCCTTTCAGCCTATTCCTTACTTGTTTACTGGTTGTTATAATTGTGATACTGTAATACAGTGACAATTGCGCCAAAGTAGGCTGCCTTTTATAGTTGTTTTGTAAGCCTATATTCCCATTCCTAGTCAAATGTGGTGATTTTATAAGAGCTCAATTGAATGTCAACCTACTGTATTGAGAATATTTGAAACAGAAATGCCATGAATATTAATTTCCAGGTTTATTACTATGTTCTCCTTTTTTCTGTTGATTTATCAATATGCTGTGACATTCTAGTTCGCTAGAGAACCACTCCTGCTGCTTCTTTAGGGAAAAGGCTACACGGACACTCCTGACCTAACCAATATTTAATTTAAGAATTGGTTAAAATTAGGTTAGGGTCAGGGTTAATCTATCTATCTATCAATCAAATGTATTTATTTATAAAGCCCTTTTTACATCAGCAGATGTCACAAAGTGCTTATACAGAAACCCAGCCTAAAACCCCAAACTGCAAGCAATACAGATTTAGAAGCACGTGGCTAGGAAAAACTCCCTAGAAGTATCAGGAACCTAGGAAGAAACCTAAAAAGGAACCAGGCTCTGAGGGGTGGCCAGTCCTCTTCTGGCTGTGCCGGGTGAAGATAAGAGTGCATGGCCGTTAAGGGTTTGGTTAAGGTAAAGGTCAGTTTTAGATTTTGGTTAGTCGTTTTGAAGGTCAGCAGTGTCCTTATAGTCCCTCCCCTTTAGTCAAGAGGAGTAGCTATGTGTTATCCTGATTTAACTCCAAGGCTCAAATGTTGCGTTGATCCCAAGTACTAATGTGCCAGTATTAAGACCACAATCTATTTAGGTGTGTTTTCAGTTGAAGGTATTGGCATTGCATACTGTATTCGAAGCAAGATAACGGCATACCACTGTAGTGACATGACGATGGACTAAAATGTTACAAGCAAGAGGACATGTAGTCAGTAGAGTGAAACAACAAAACATCCAAGTATGAAAGTGCCCTTGTAGAAAGCCTGCTCTTGATTATGCACTTTTCAATAATTCTCCATTGTCATGAAAGACCAAATGATGAAGAGTTGCAATATTCTACAGTACAGTCCCTATCCTCAAGACTTAATTTTAGTCTAAGCGATTTAAGTCAGCTTCAGGGTGTTAAATGGATGCCTGAAGGCTGGAGGAAAGTGACCTTTCATATTGGATTTAGCATTTTGTTTTTGTTCTTATCTGTCCTTCTCTCTGAGCTTGCCACTGTACATGGCAACAGAAGTGGCTTATTTTCACCTGATGCTTGATATCATGGGCTTTGGAACAATGCATCATGAGACTGTAGGACCTCTTGAAGCTTTTCACATTTGATTTGAAGAACAGCTTCTCTTTGAGATTAGAAATGCGCAAAGGATCATTCTTGTATAGCTTTCTGTTCTTATACTTATTTTTGTCACCTTGAACTTGCATTTCTCAACGCAAACATCTAGGTAATTGAGCACATGTTAAATCATAGCAAAGGAACAACAATGACTTCCCCATGAATCATCACAAATGGTTTCTCTAGTTGTGACATTCAAGTAAATTGTCGTTGGAAATTGAATTATTTTCTGTGTCCTCTCTTGTGTAAAACACCACATGGGTGGGACACAGTCAGTTTGTTGGACTGTTGTATGTCTTAAGGACCTTACAAAGGTCTGGCAAATGTTTCATCAGAATACCAGTTATTATGAAGGTTTATTTTCCTTCTGGTGGAACTATTTGTACATCTTTTTCAGTTTATAAATTACTTTTCTTTGAACATATCATTAGCATTCAATGTTCAAGACAATAATTTGGATTTCATAGTTGATTATGGGTTAAATGGAGGAGAAAATCAATTTACAATTGTAAATAAGAAAAATATCTACAATGATTTTACTGTAGCCTACTTTCATAAATCTTGTTGAATTGATCTACACGTTTGTAGATATGTGTACTTTTGATGATTTATTAAAATGAGATTCTTTTAAAACGTACTGCATTTTGTCAATTTACTTTAAATGTATTAGGCTACCAGTTGTCCCAATGAATTCCTATAATGAGGGAATATTGAAGATATTGAAGAGATCCGACAATAGCCACTGTCGTGTTATATTTATTTTCTACACTTTCGATAGCACCTTTGCTGTTTACATAATTTTTTATGGCACCTGTTGAGAAACAAAACTTTTACGAATTAATCTTAATTTTATCAATGGATATTGAATAGGCCTAATCCTATATAGAATTCATTAACATTTTACAAAACAAAATAGCTTGATAAAGCTGTAATACCAAGGACAATACCACATATAGAACAACGAGACAGATATTTCACTGAATGTTTAAATTAAGCATCCGCTTGGCGTTTCCACTCACTACCAAATGTGGTAGTGAGAGGAAGCACACTGGCGGGCAGTGGGGGAAGAATGAACGAGATGGATTTTGGCCGACATTCTGCAAATGTTCTCATCGATGAAACATTTGATCTCAATACAGTTTTCTGTTCCCAAAACTAGAATATGTTATGAATAGAGTGGACTAAGGTGTGTAGACTTTACCCTTTGCAAAAGTTTTTACAAATCGCGTTGTTTAGAAGGAGTGCAAAGGTGAATTGGGTTAATGCACACGCGAACTTCACAGAGTAGGCGTTCCCTAACAGAAATATGCAGATGATGCTAGAACGCGCCAGTAAGATCTCGCTATCTCGTGCTTGGCTCTGCCCCCCTCCTTGCTTGTTCTGCACAATATGGCTCATTTGTTCCCATTCGAAACGACAGGCTCTGGTCTATCTTGGTTTAGTTGTAAAAAATCTTTGATAGTACTCTTTGGTAATACCTATTGAGGATTTTGGAAGGGGGGGATATGTTTTTTTGGTTGCAGAATGCTTTCTTGAACATGTGAACTTTCATGTGCCTTAATAACAAACTGGTATGTGATCTATAAATATGAACTAAGATGTTAAATAACGAGCCTAGTTCAGCCAAGGACAAAGCACTGAGCTATAGGGAGAAAGACAGGATCCTTCCTGGCGTGCCGTGATTGGCTGAGATAATGGTTAATAATGATACTAATGAACTTGTTTAGCTAAACAAAGGAGACAAAAGAGACCCATTCACAATAAACCCCCCTTTAACATGTGACATTTTAAAGAGATGAGTGGGGCTAAAGGCGTCTGCATGCTTCCCAGCCGAAACAGTTCGGGAGAGTTCGTGCATGTATTATGATGAAGGCATCAGAGGGTGTGAATGTTGCTGAGTGGGCATAAACAAAGAGCTCTCTAGAAAATGTTAAAACATTTCAAGGGCAAGTTTCTCTCCGCCCTTTTTCTCAACCTGGACTGGTAGAGGTAACATACTAAATGAAGGGAGACAGATTAATGTACTATGATATTGTAATGACCTGACTAGATCATAAAATAACAACTGTCCAGACAGAGGATTGAGTTTACGAATGGACGGTTTATTAAACCAACTTTACACAGGCTACTGTTTGGCCGTAGCCCACGCCAAATAAATGAAAGATAACCCACAAGCCAATCGTGACCTTCTCTTGTGAAGCCCAGACGTAAAAAAAAGAGAGAACAAAGGCTAAACCTGGTCTTAACTTCCAATGCTCCATCCCCCTGCCCAACCCCCCTCCACGCCAC